AAGACAAAAAGATACATGTATGTGCACAATACATGTTGAAAGTACGGACGTCGTACATTTTTAATGAAGAAAAAAAAAAAATATGGGTCTAATCTAATTGGGGAGTTAGAAGTTGAATAAACAAACTATCTAACAAAATATTTGAAAAAATAAATAAAAATATATAATGGGTACCTAATAGGAAAATAATGAATTATGGGATAAAATGGAATAAGTTTACTATTGAGTATAGTCTTCACATGAAGTGAAAGTGGTCCAAAATTCACTAAATTCACTAAATAATAATTACCCCCACTGAAAAAAAAAAAACAGAGACATATAAAATTGATTCAGTTGATTGGGCATTAAGGGAAATCAGGGGACCAATAACTTATATCAAAGCACGATTTAGAGAAATAAATAAATAAGAATACTTTAAAACAATTAATTAATATACAAATATACAAGTTTTTTTAAACTAATCTTTAATCGACTATTTTAACCTAGTTATAATATGGGAAAAATTGAATTAATAATTAAGGGGTCTAAGTTTATATTGGTTCTAGACGTACGTAGTAATAAATTTAGATATTAAGCAGTAAATAATAGGAGATACATACACTTTTTTTGTTTCATGTACACAAACAAACTGTAAAACCCGTCGAATCTGAGACTCTGAAGCCTTGAACCTCCATTCCTATATGATGAAGAGTACCAGCACCGAGACCAGCACCAATACCACAGAAACCCAGACCACAGTCTCTGGCCACATCCAGCATGCAGGAAGATTCTGTGAAAGCTAGCACTCAAAAGCGCACTGTTGCCAGTATTCCAAAGTTCTGATCAATCTGAACAAACTGGAGACACCACCTGAAAATAGAAGCACAAGACAATCAGCCAGCTATAGGGATAGGCCACTCAAGTTACCTATCATGCCTCCCAAAGTCTGCGAGAATTCAATCAGACTACCAAACCGGTCACAAACACACACACAAACTCTGAACTTATCAAATGCAAGGCAAGCCGAGAGAACAAAAATACTCAAACGCCGGAGTACCCATATCAGCAGGGTCAATCCAGGTACCAGGGTACCAAAGAACACTACACACTGCACAAAAAACATCTTCACAAAGGGTGTTCTCCCAGCATTAAGAGGCGACGACACTCCCCGCAACCGAAAACTGCTTAGCTTGCAACCCAAAAAATAAAAAACTCATTCATGGAAGTTTGTTTTGATTTCTGTAACCAAAAAACGAGGTTATGTCAAGTCAGAACCATAACATAACCAAGTACCGTACTGTGCTAGTACTACGAGTACCTGAACAAATCGAGGCAGATCCCAGCATCCGCCAGGTCAAGCTAATGACTTGGGCGGGCGAACCCATAGATGGCGCATCATTTGCAAGCGATCAGTGCGACGAACCAAGCCAGCGCCAGCCGACTCCGACTTACGACGAAACGCAAACACAGAACAGCGAACAGCAACAGCAAAATGGAGTAAACCAGACCGACAGGGCCGTATCAAGGCTCAGAGACTCGAGAAAACGACGTGTACAAGACAAGGTTGTTTTGAATTTTTTTTTACTTTTAATTTCTTTTGTATTTTAATTAGATTTAATTTTTAGGGATTTATTAATTTTTTTTTTCTAATTTTTTTTATTTCATTTTTGTTTCATTTGGTTATTATTTTTTTTTTTTTGCCTATGTGATTTAGGGACCTTCAGCCATTCTCTGTAATACTTTGGTTTATCTAGAGCTGGGGTCCAGCTCTTTTACGCCCGAGGGTAATGTCACGCTAAAAAGTTTTTATAATTTACAAAAGGAAATATTTTTCATAAAAAAACTGAATATTTTAATTTTCTATTCAAAGTTCAGTTCACTGACTTTTCGCAAAACTGCAAGTCGTTTCCTTTTGTAAAATTAAACAATTTCGGTTATGAATCAATAACTATAATTTTGTAACTTCGATGAGTCCGCAAAACGATAGTTCAATTATTTCAAAGGTAAAATTGATTTTGCTGACTTATCAAAGACTCGATGGCGAAAAACCGAATTAAAGCTTGGACAGTACCCTCGCAGACTTCAAGAAAGTACAAAGTGTTGTGCAAAATTATGTTGAGTCATATAATGTAAGTACGAACCAAAATCTTTCGATTTGTATTTTATCGCAATCTGATTTAACTTTCAATTTTTAATTTCCAAAATTTCATTTTGTTTTATTTTATTTATTCAATTTTTTTGTTAAACTTTCTTTTCTATTATTTATTAATAAATCCCGATTTGTTATTGTTTTAAATTGGACTTTTTATTCCTTCCAATCCCGGATTATTCGTCTGGTATTTGGACGACGTTGCGACCAAAATCTGGACGTAACAATATATAGTCAAGAGTAGCACGCTCATTCTCTTAGCTTTGGCTATAGCCGTGACCCTTAATGTATTTGCATCACTGGCGGAACCCGTCAAAAAGCAGAAGAAAATTGAAAACTAAACGAAAACAACACAAACTTTCATTTAACTCTCAACCAAAATCAAAAAATACCCTGACAACTCTAATTTTGTCAACTGTCAAGCACGAATACACGCACTCTGATTGGTTGGGAGCATAACAATCCGACAACATTGCATGGCGTTCGGAAATTTTTCCCGGTTGCCCTTCGATTCCTATTAAACCGAACGGAATGGTTCCCGAAAAGCCATACTGAATTGCAAAGTACGCTATCGAACCGAATGTTCGATTACTGCGCCGTTCGATAGTGTACCGAACCGAGAGATTCGGTCTACAAAAAATAAATACAGAATAAGGCCCCAGGCCCGGGCCTGTGTGCTTCGCACACATGACACACCGCTAGATCCGCCACTGTCTAAAAGTCTTACTTTTAGAGGGTTTTCAAGTGTTTGACCGGTGTCAAAATTGACAGAAAATTTGTCATAAATGACGTTAAATGCATTGTTACTGATTGTTTATCTGTCAAAAATAATGACTGGTCAAACGCTTGAAAACTTTTCTTCCTCGTTGAGAACTAAGAAGAAAAACGTTTTGTATAATAATTGAATGCGGTCTATCGAGAGCCATCGTAGGCCTCCCGAAGGCCCCAATATATAAACTAAACGAGATAAGACTTAAAAACTTGTTAAGGCGACCAGTTATTATTCTTTGTTGACATACAAATTATGGGTTATGACTGGCCCAAGCCTCAGAGATGAAGATGAAGAAGAGGCATAAAGGGAGATATGAAAAACGGACGGGCAATATTTCTTAGTTATTTCTCCTCTTATTGCTATTTATCGGATAAGAATGAGAATTATTCATTTTGCATTATGATTAGGATAGTCGAATACCTATACAATTATTAGCACTTATCCACTATTTAAGAATAACTAATTTTCTAGATGCACATTTTTTCCAATTTAACTTTTAACCATTAACCAACATTGTACTTTCAGCCTTTCCAAAATGGCAATCAGGCAATCACTAAAAAAAAATGATTCCTTTCACCACCCATGTGAAGTTTGTTATTACATTCCGGCATCAATTTGATTGCCAGTCACGCACACATTCTACTAAAACAAACAAGCCCATTTTACCATATCAATTTCGGACCTTTTTCTGATGATCGTGAAGTTTTTATTTTTCATTTTTTTTTAATAACGATTCGTGTCGTTCCTTTTTGCATCACGTATTTCACTCGGTACTTATCTTGTTCGGTCATTTTGCAAATTGCACGGTTCGGCAACGAACAAGAAAAAAAAAATAACATATTCAACAAGTTGTTCGAAATTGTTGAACCAGAGGTTATTGGTAGAACTTATTATACTTTCCTAAGATACTTTCAAATTCAAATTCAAAAACAGCTTTATTGTCATAAAAAAAAAGATTAAAACATCTCATTGACAAAGCAGAACCAAAAACCAAAAAAAAAAAATACCTAAAACATAATATAATGCTGACTTGTAAAACAATATTAAAAACACCGATAAGTCGACAATACAAAGAATACATAATAAAACGACGATACTAAAATTACACAGGAGGTCAAAACATAAATTAAAGCGGGTCTTAAATAAAATAAAATAAATGTAAAAAAAATCACAGTCTAAAATAAGTCGTCAAAATATTCGATTTTTGAATAATAAGCTTTGTTCAAAAGTAATTTTTTCACTTCTCTTTTAAATTTTCTTTCATCTTCTATTTTTCTTATACTTTTTGGTAGATGATTAAATATTTTCCTACCATTATAAATTATGGACTTTTTAGTTAAGGTGGAAGTAGGTATCGGAAGTGATGTGGTGTGGGTATTTCTCACAGTATAAGCTGAAGTGGCCTGAATTTCCCTTTTAAACTTCCTATGAATCAAACAGGCTGTTTCATGGATAAACACGCTGGTCAAAGTTAGGATTTTATGGCTAATAAAAAAGGGCCTACAAGAATCTCTTCTTTTTAACTTTAGCATAAAACGCAGTGCTCTTTTTTGTAGTAAAAAAATTGTATTAAATAAATATCCAGAACAAGCTCCCCAAAAGCATATGTTAATGAGTTTTTATAATTTTACTTTTGTTGAATTTCTCTAATTATTATTAGACTAGATGTGGTAACTCGGCATTTATAAAAATGTATTTTTGTTAACCTCTAAAGGTTCGGTCGCTGTCTGTTAGGGCCAGGGGGGGTGCGACCACGAGAGACGCAACAGGTTGCCAAAATTGTCAGCCTTTTTTTATTTAAAAAATCCCCTTTGTACTCTTTCGAGAATAAAACCGAAAGTAAAAATAAATAAACGAGTTTCAATTAACTGAGCTATCGAGGAAGAAACATTTGGTCCTGATCGAGCCTGATGATCAGGAATGGATAAATAAAACCTGTTCTGTTCGAGGAGAATGTGAGTTCGAGTTGAGAAAAAAGAGTGCTCACAGGAAAAATTAGCAGAAAAAGTAAGTCCGTTCCTTTTCATATTATTTATTTACCAATTTTTGAGTATTGAGTCCTATATTGAATCCTTTTTTCCGCCCTAAATTTGAGTTAAAATGGACGCGGATCAAAAAAAGGAATTGAGTGCTTTAAGGGTTAAAAGGGGAGTTTGCAAGAGTAAATTGACAAGGTTAAAAAACTATTTTGAGGGTTTAGATGAGGGGCAATTTGATGAGAGAGAATGGGGTATTTTAGCCGCGAAATTTGAGAAATTTGAGGGGATCTGGGATGAATTTGCCGCTTATCAAACAGATATTGAGATTTTAATTGTGAATGACAATGATATTTTTGTACAAGAGAGTCAAGAAAGGGATATATTCGAGGATGGATATTGTACATTAGTCGTAGATATTAAAAGCATGTTGAATAAGCATTATTGGAAAAATAACGACGGTGGGTGGTGGTAGCAGTAACGGGTCGGTGAACGTAAGTTCCAGACAATCAGTGGCGGGCCAAGGGCATCAAAATACGGGGTCGATATCTTCGATTGCAAAATTGCCCCCCATAAATTTACCGGTTTTTGACGGGCAATATGAAAAATGGTTAGATTTTAAGGAAAGCTTTTGCGCATTAGTAGAGCAAAATACAAATTTAAACGATTGCAGAAGTTTTTGTATTTGAAGTTGTCCTTGAAAGAAAATGTTTTGCAGGTTATTCAATCTATTGAGGTTAGCGCAGATAGTTACAAGAGTGCATGGCAACTTTTAGTTGATAGATACGAAAATAAAAAAATGATTGTATTTAACCATATCAAGGCAATTTTTGAGTACCCGAGTTTGACAAAAGAGTCGCATGTTGAGTTGAGAAAGTTGTATGATAATGCGAAAAAGCACCTTCGTTCTTTGAAAAATCTAAAAATAGATACGAATTCTTGGGACCCCTTAATTATTTATATTTTATCTAATAAATTTGATAACATTACGAGACGCGATTGGGAGTCGTATAAATGTGTGAATGTCTTGCCAACGTTGGACGAGTTAAACAGTTTTTTGCATACAAAGTGTGAAGTTTTAGAAAAGTTAGAGGCATGCAAATCAGACAGAAATAAGTTCAACAGTACAAGTCAAGGGTTCCCAAAGAAAGTACATACTTTTTTAGTACAGATGGGCAAAGAATGCAGTGCTTGTGGTGTAAACAAGATTCCCATAATTTGAGCGAGTGTAAGTCTTTTCAGAAATTGGGTTCCGAAGAAAAAATTGATACAGTTAAAAATATGAAGTTGTGTTTTAATTGCCTCAAAATAAATCATAATGCTTGGAAATGTCGTGCACCCAAGTGTTCAAAATGTCACAAAAGCCACCATATTTCCTTGCATTTTGAGAAATCCAACAACGACGCCACTGACGCCCGTTCACGAGAAGTAAGTAACGCAAAGCTCCGTTAAGCTGGCCCCCCCCGAATTGATTTTCATTACCAAAATGCTGGCACAGGTAAAACATAGCTAGCACAACCTAGCACACCAATTTTTAACGCTAGCACACCCATAGTATAGCAAAAAATTGATTTCGAATTCGGGGGGGGCCAGGTTAACGCTAGCCCCCCCCCAATTGGATTTACTAAGCCAAAATGCTAGCACAGGTGCAAGATACCTAGCACAACCTAGCACACCATTTTTTAAAGCTAGCACACCCATAGTTTAGCAAAAAATTGATTTCGAATTCGGGGGGGGGGGGGGCAGGTTAACGCTAGCCCCCCCCGGTTGGATTTACTCAGCCAAAATGCTAGCACAGGTGCAAGATACCTAGCACAACCTAGCACACCATTTTTTAGAGCTAGCACACTCATAGTTTGGCAAAAAATTGCTTTCGAATTCGGAGGGCGTGGTTAAGGCTAGCCCCTCCCCGTTCGATTGGATTTTCTTCGTCAAAATGCTGGCACACATTTAACAAACCTGGCACGTAAAGAGATTTGCTGTTCCTACTCTACGTAGGAATGCAAAGATTGCACTATCGGAATATTCCGGGAATAGCTTCTACATGGGTACAACTCGCCAGTATCCTTGCCTTAGACAAGGAAAGAGAGAGGACGCGTAACATCCTTTAGGGCGAGCATTATAAAACTTCTTTGTGAGTTAACTTAAAATTAACTTCTGGAATGACATGTAATTCAAAAAGTTAACTTCAAGTTAACTGTCAAAGCAGTTTTATAATACCCACCCTTACCTGCACTAGCAGCTGGTTGTGACCGTTTGCCACCAAACAATGGCGACAATTTTTCATGGTGTCACTATGTGAATTTTACTTCAGACTAACATTTTTGTGATATTCAGCATGGTGGATTGCTAGCATATGGCTGCAAAACCCGCAGAGAAAAAAAAGTCGACGGGATTACATTTAACAGGCAAAAAACAATATGCTTTCTAGGTTATGTTATGAAAAAAGCAGACATTTTTTGGTGGCAAACTGCTTCATTTTCACCTGCTGTGATACGAGTCCGCTCTCTTTCCTTGCCTAAGATTCTCTTGCTAACTGCTCTTCCTCATTACGAAGAGGTGTTTCGTAGACTAAACTTTTCAGTCAATGTCCCGACGGTGCAATCTTTTCATTGAAGTAAATGGTCAACATTTTGAATAATTATTGTAAACCTCAGAGGAAACCATAATTTATTTGTTAATAAAGCAAAATTAATAAGTAGGTAAACAGTGATTTAATTATTGCGAAGAATAAGAGTACCAAACAGTTTTTTTGCTCTGCAGCCCAAATGGATTATTTGCGGACATATGTTTATATAAACAAAAATGCTTGTTTTGATGTTCCTTACTACCCCTCAAAGTTTGTCGGTATCTTTTTGGGACACCCTGATGTATACAAAAATTTCAGGTATTCTACTTTTTCGCCTTGAGTGCGGAAAAGTAATACTTTCATGACCTCATCGTGCGGTAAGGTGCACTTTTCCGCACGCTCGTAGAAAAAAATTATAAAAACAGCTGCGATTAGGGATACCACCTTTGAAAGTAAGTTGAACCGGAGAAAAAAAAAAAACCATTGTTGAAAGAAAGCTGAAAAAGAAAATCTGCAGGTCTACAATGCAACAGATGCATTACACTTTACTATCTGTCTATATGTATATACACAAGTCCCCCCTCCCCAGCATCACCGGAAGTTGCTTGGGGAAACTTTGCTTGAGGTTGGGAGTTGAGACGGTTGGAGAAAAAGATTCAAGAATATTACACACTAAACAGAATAGCCTATCTTCATAACGACACTACGACCGCTGACGCAAACAGTTAACGACACTGTTGATGACTTCGATAACGGTGCAACACTATAGTCTTGATTCCAAAAATCGAGTCCGAGCGGACGTGTAGTAGTGTTTAATATCCTTGAGGGAGATTATGAGGCTTTGAGGTTCGTGGGCTGTCTATTCTATCGCCAAACTGCATGTCGGAGTCGGAGAATTTCTCTATTTCTCCGAGAGAAACCGTATTTGCACAAACAGGATTGCGCTGTTGCTAAATTCTATTTTTCTTTTTTAAATGCGTTTTTTTTTTGTGTTAAATGCGGTTTTACCCGGAGAAAACACCTAGTAATCCGGAGACTGAAGACCATGTAAAAACCAGTAGACTCCGGGTGAAACCCGGAGAGGTGGCAACCCTAGCTGCGATTTAATGAAACAACAAACAACCAATAATAATTGGAATAATCAAATCGATCAGATTATTCATTTGATGTTTTCGCGCTCCGAATCTAGAAGCAATTTTTGGTTTCTCCACAGATCTGCAAGCTCTAAAAATTGGTGTTCTAGGTATTTTTCTATCAATGCCAGCATTTTGACGAAGAAAATCCAATCGAACAGGGAGGGGCTAGCGTTAACCACGCCCTCCGAATTCGAAAGCAATTTTTTGTCAAACTATGAGTGTGCTAGCTCTAAAAAATGGTGTTCTAGGTTGTGCTAGGTACAGTGCCTCTATACAAGACAGTGGCGACAATAGCGCCTAAGCTCCGCCCACCCGCCATGTTTTGTCGAACTGAATGAGTTCGATAATGTATTTGTTTTTCCTTTTCTTTCTGTTCTAATTTTTTCTCACAAAATAGTCAATAACAGGCACAAATAACAAAAACAAAAATATATTAACACAAAATTGCATAAATCTCCATAGAATCAAACTGTAAACACAAATAACTTTCGACAAAACATAGCCGATATTCTGCAGCCAATCAAAAATGAGTCCCCCTATTGTCGCCACTGTCTTCTATAGAGGCACTGTAGTGCTAGGTATCTTGCACCTGTGCTAGCATTTTGAGTTGACTGAGTAAATCCAACCGGAGGGGGCTAGCGTTAGCCTGCCCCCTCCCCCCGAATTGGAAATCAATTTTTTGCTAAACTATGGGTGTGCTAGCTCTAAAAAATGGTGTGCTAGGTTGTGCTAGGTATCTTGCACCTGTGCTAGCATTTTGGGTGAGTAAATCCAACCGGGGGGGGCTAGCGTTAACCTGGCCCCCCCCGAATTCGAAATCATTTTTTTGCTAAACTATGGGTGTGCTAGCGTTAAAAATTGGTGTGCTAGGTTTTGCTAGCTACATTTTACCTGTGCCAGCATTTTGGCAACGGAAATCAATTCGGGGGGGGGGGGGGGGGGCAGCTTAACGGAGCTAGCAAACTACAATTTTTGACAGTTTAAATGGGATTATTTATACAGGAGTGGAATTGCCGGTGTAATACACTCTATAGGCGAAGGCACTTAGGGAAATAACAGCCATATTTTAACATAAAATTTAACAGCAAACTATCGATGCAGTATTGTTAAGGATCATTTATAGATGCTGAAAACCAAAAATGCAATCTAATTACTAATTTAAAGGGGATTAATTAAAGGGGATTTTATAAACAATATTTAGTGCAAAAATAGGGCTTTTTCTTGTTTATTTCACTGTATTTCGATTTCATGCTAAACAATTAATTTTTTACACATACATAGTAGATGAGGCAGGCTTTATTGAGTCCAAATTTGGGCCCGGTCCGATGGGTCGTTTCGGCATAATACCCTTGTCAAGAAAAATGGGGATGTTTCTAAAGCAGTCAGTCGAATTGAGGATAATTTTTTTATATTTATTTTGAAAAGTCCACTGATAAGTCGAAATGCCAAACTATCGATCCTCTATCTCAGATTTTCCATTTAATTTTTTTATCGCAAGTAAAACGGCTTCGAACATGACTGAAAATGGAAAAAATTGACGGGAATTCAAACGGAATGACAGCGAGCTCCCCCCGCCCACGCAAATTAATTTTTTTTTTCCATTTTCAGTGATGTTTAGAGCCGTTTTACTTGCGATAAAAAAATTAAATAGAAAATCTGAGATAGAGGATCGATAGTTTGGGATTTCGACTTATCAGTGGACTTTTCAAAATAAATATAAAAAAATTATCCTCAATTCGACTGACTGCTTTAGAAA